ATAACCCTTTGGAAAAAATGACTCCAAAACGGTACATCAGTTCCTCTAGATCAGTAGTCACAGAATAGCTTAGGAAGGGCATCTACTTTGGAAATTGGCTTTCCAAAGGATACAAAGTATCAAGACAGGGCTGGGATCCTAACTCTTGTGCCTGACGGCAGAGTTCAATGTCATAGTGGTTGCTGTCCCAAGCCTGCCTTCCCTTCCTTAAAGGGTGGGGGAGGAGTTTTCACAGAATGAAAGAAATAAAAAGTTGCTTCTTAGGCATAAGCAAGGCAGACAAGGGGAGTTAGAGTACATTCTATCAAACTAGTCATTAGGATCTGTTGTTTTGTTTTGTTTCTGTTTGGTTTGGGGGCCATACCTGGCTGTGCTCAGGGCTTACTCCTGGCTCTGTGCTCAGGGATCGTTCCTGGCTGGCTCGGGGAACCTATATGGGATGCCAGGCAGGGATCGAAGATGGGTAGGTCTTGTGCAAGAAAAGTGCTTTACCTGCTGTACTGTCTCTCCAGCCCCAGTCATTATCATCTTCTGGACCATAACTTTAGAATTGATATTCTCCACCTCTGTTATTCATTAGAAACCAATTTCTGGGCCAGAGAGATAGCATAGTGGGTAGGGCACTTACTTGCCTTGCACGTAGCTGACCCAGGTTCAATCCCCAGCACCCCAGATGGTTCCCCCAGCAACCAACAGGAGTGACCCCCGACTGCAGAGGCAGGAGTAAGCCCCAAGTACCACTAGGTGTGGCCTAAGCCACCTCCACAAGAAAACCGAATTTCTGGGAAGGAAATGACACAGAGGATTAGGGTGGTAGGCAGGGTGCTTGAGACTCAGAGGCCTTTTTTTTTTTTTTTTTGTCCTTTTTGGGTCACAACCTGGCGATGCACAGGGATTACTCCTGGCTCATTACTCCTGGTGGTGCTTAGGGGATCATATAGGATGCTGGGAATTGAACCTGGGTCGGCCGCGTGCAAGGCAAACGCCCTCCCCGCTGTGCTATCGCTCCAGCCCCCTCAGAGGGCACTTACTCCAGGCCCCTGCGAGCATGCTGCTGAGTTCAGGACATATTCCTGACTCTGCTCTGGGGCAATTCCTGGTGGGGGAATCAAACCTGGGTTGGCCGTTTGCAAGGCAAGTGCCTTACCTTGTAGTATCGCCCCGGCCCCACAGACATGCTTGGTCACTGAGACAGCTCAGTCGAACCCAGAGCAGAAGGCACCGCCCAGGTGCCAATGGGCCGACTAAGGGAACGACTCGGTGTTGAGGTCTGTGGGACACTGGCCAGCAGGGTAGGGTAGAGCAGGAATGCAGACTGATGTTTCGGGGGTCCACTGTCCGAAGCAGCCAGCACCCTGGAGGCATGTAGGAGGCATTTCTGGATGGTAAGTCATCTGGATTGGGTTCATTGGTTTGGGGACCACACCTGGCAATAATGTGGGTTGGTCCCAGCAGAGCTCAGACCTGAACCCAGGGTGCCCACAAGCAAAGCCTGAGCCCTTGGGTCATCTCTCTCCCCCACCCCCCCTTTTTCTTCAGGGCCAGAAAGCTGGCTTCTGTGGCAGAGCACATGCCTGCAGGTGCAAGGCCAAGTTCAATGTCAAGCACGGAATGTCCGTGTTCCCCACCCCAGCACTGTGGGGTGACCCTTATTTTAAAAACAAACAGAGGGTTAAGTTTTATTGAGGGTTAGTTTTATTCAACGACTTTTCTTTTTTTTTTTTTCTTTTTGGGTCACACCGGGTGATGCACAGGGGTTACTCCTGGCTCTGCACTCGAGTTACTCCTGGCGGTGCTCGGGGGACCATATGGGATGCTGGGAATCGAACCCAGGTCGGTCACGTGCAAGGCAAACACCCTATCCGCTGTGCTATGGCTCCAGCCCCTATTTGCCGGCTTCTACTCCACGGTTACCCCCCTGTACATCTGCTCCATCTTTCACCACCCCCAACTCCTACGTGTCCATTTGGGCAGAAATCAGTCTAGTTCACTCCGGACCTTGGACATAGCTCCCTGCGTGGAGCCGGCCAAGAAGAAATACTGTGAAGGAAATACAGAATCGCTGACAAATAGTTCATCTGGGAGCCAGCCATCCACCCGGCCCTAAAAGTGCATTGTGAAAAGTGAGTTCTGGTTTCTGAGTAACTGGAAGTCCTGGCTTACGTGGCCTTCAGCAAGTTACTAATTCCTTTTTTTTTTTTCTTTGCTTTTTGGGTCACACCCAGCCGATGCTCAGGGGTTACTACTGGCTCTGAACTCAAGAATGGCAGTGCTTCGGGGACCATATGGAATGCTGGGAATCGAACCCAGGCCGGCCACGTGCAAGGCAAACGCCCTACCCGCTGGGCTATTGCTCCAGCCCCAATTTCTTAAAGTCTTCTCAGCTCCATCTCTGAAATGAGAAAAACGGTCCTTGCCCAGAATGGGATTAACGGAAATATCTTTATTAGCACACGCTGTAGCGATTCCCTAGTTATTCCTACACCCTGCCCTCCCCCTCCCGCTCCTCCTCCTCCTCCCAGGCTCCCTGGCAGGGCTCCCCTAAACCCATCAGCTACCACGATGCACCTGGCTGGCCGCTAGAAGTGTGCCTGTGCAACGCGCTCCTGCCGTCCTCACCGCAAGAGTTTGTTTTACTGCCTTCAACAGTGCGCTGATGCCGCCGGAGGAGAAAATCCAGGCGTGTTACCACAGCTGGCCACGCCTTCTGGGAGCTTTACTGGCCCAGTCTCCCAGTCGTCTCTGGCGGCCCTTGGCTCCGATCTCCGGGCGCCCTGGAGGCTTCTCGCAGCCCTCCACCCCTGCCCCTTACTAAGCCTTTGCAAGAGCCTTCTCCAGCTGCAGCTTCTCCCATCTATATGCTCCGACCGCCCTTTCCGGCTGTTCCCGCACGTGCTGAGAAGTCTTGGATGTCCCAAACTGAACTTGGGTGGAGGCACAATAGCTGTTTTCCTCCCTGTCCCCCTTATCTCAGCAAAAGGCCCCCACAAAACAGGCAACGGAAACGGTGCTTGCTCCTGCGGGCGGACAGCGCCACCTGTTGGCCCAAACTGACACTCCAGCATCTAAACCGGAGTCTGGGTTCTGTCTGCTGCTTAGTTTTGTTTTTTTTTTTTAATTTTTATTAGTGAAACACCATGAGGCACAGTTGTAGACTTACAAGTTTTTGTGCTTGGGTTTCGATTATACAATGACCAAATACCCATCCCTCCACCAGTGCCCATTTTCCACCACCATGGATCCCAGTATCCCCCCCCCACCCCCGCCTCTGTGGCAGGGCATTCCCTTTTGTTCTCTCTCTCCTTTTGGGTGTTGCAGTCTGCAAAAGAGGCATTGAGTGGCAATCACGTTCGGTCTATAGTCTACTTTCAACATGCATCTCCCATCCTGGAAGGATGCTGCTTAGAGGATAGTTTTGAAGTCTTCAGTCCACTGGGATCCCCTCACACCAAAAATTTTCAAATATAAATAATTCTAAGCTCACATTATTAAGTATGTAAGTGGAAGGGAGCAAGAAAACTAGTTACTCTGAGTGCTTTAGTTACTAACATTTCCCAATCCGCTCAATGAAGTAGGTAACTTGTTGGGAGATACCTTTTACAGACGAGGCACTGAGGCACAGAGCCTCAGAAACCGTCACCGTTGGAGGGAAAAAAGGGAGGTCAGAGCAATAGTACAGCAGGTAGGCTTTTGCCTTACATGCGGCCGACCTGGGTTCAATCCCTAGCATCTCATATGGTCCCCTGAGCAGCACCAACAGGAAAAATTCCTAAGTGCAGAGCCAGGAGTAATCCCTGAGCATTGCCAGATGTGGCACGAAAACTGGGGGGGAGGGGAGTGAAAAAAGAAAAAAGAAGAAAATGCCACCCTAGATCTGAACTTCAAAGCCCTAACCTTCAGCAGTGCTCAGGATTGAACACAGAGCTCCCACAGGCGAAGCTAGAGTGCCATCCCCTGCCCCCCCATTTCCTGATTTTCAAAGCTGGTCCTGCAGAGGCTGGAATGCCAAGTTACGTGGCAGAGCACATGCCTCCCTCGTGCAAGGCTGAGTTCAATGTCAGGCACGGCCTGTCCCCACTTTTTCTTTGCCCCTTGCCCTCCAGCCGGGCAAGGTGACTTCTCCATAACCCCCTTTTACTGCAAAGATGGCACCTGAGACCCATGTCCACCTGAGTCACACCTGGAGTGCTGAGCCTCGTTCTGGAAGCTGTAGGATGCTCTAGGGACACCTTAGAACAGGAACTAGCCAGGCCCGGAAGGCCTGGCCCTATTATTGCTCCACTCCTGTGACCTCTGGCGACCTTCACTCCAGTCTCCCATTTCCTAAGAGGACCTTTGGGCCCGTCTGGTGGGTGTGGCGGGACGCTGTATGAAGGCTGAGATCAGATCAGTCGAGAAGGCACTGGTGGGCAGCGCTGTCCCTGGGACCCCTCCCTGGTCGCTCACAGCATGCGCCCAACAGTGCCATTTAGAACCCAGAGACGGCCACTCCTTCTTAACGCCCCCATACCCATTCACTGTTCTAAACCATTCCGGTGTGTGAAAATGCCTGCCTTCAACCATGCCAAGTGCCTTACACACGCTTATATGGGCGCGTGCGCGCGCGCACACACACACACACACACACGTACTTATTATGCACATCCTATGCTCCAGTCATAACTCAAGATGCTTTCCACACAGGTCACTGAATTCTCACAACAGCCATATTCATCCAGGAGAGCTTGAACACATGAATACATGTTCTCTCTCCTCAGCCAGGCCAGCACATGCGCACACTACCCACTCTCACTCTCACACACCCCGCCGTCCCCTATTATTCGTCCCTCTTCAACCTGGGGAGGATCAAATCACAACATGTGCAATACTATCTCTTCAACCAGGAGCGTTCTCTCTCACGCACACCCCATCCCACCCCCCACTAGCCCTCTTCCACCCGGAGAAAGCTCTACCACAGTCCAGGCTCCTGAACTCCCGAGCGAGCCCAGGCCTGGCAATCATCACAGATGACACCCAAAGGCGGCTCTTTTATTAAGTGGGGGAGGAGGGGGGTAGGGGAAGGCTCGGTCTGGGGCCTCACGCGGGCCCAGAGGTCTGCTGTACCCTCTTCATCAGCTCCTCATCTTGCATAGACAACTCCGTTAACTTTTTGCCCATCCGTTCATGGATGTCCAGGTACTTGGAGACGCAGCGATCCAAGCACACGGACTCGCCCTTGGACAGTTCTGCTTCCTTGTAGTGGGGAGGCACGCACTTCCGGTGGCAGGCACTGGTCATTCTGGGGGAAGGGAAGGGCAAAGGCAAGTCAGCGGCAGGCTGTGACATCCCAGGTACTCCCACCAGCCTACACTGCTACACCGACTTCAGCTCCCAAGAAGCCAGAGTGGACCCGGAGTCTGCCCCTCGCTGTGTGAGCCAGCCTGCCTTGGGATCAAGTGCGTTGTCTGGGCCCATGTTTACGCCCAAACACAAAGCACTAGGTGAGTACCAGCTATGTTCTAGACATCACCTTACGCTCCTGACACAAAGCACACAGTCAATCTCCGTAACAGCCATAGGAAGCCAGAGAATCATTATCCCCAGTTTACAGGTAATGATGGCAGAGCACATGGAGCTGGGATATGATCCGCATTTTGTTTGACTTCACATATTATTATTTTTTGGGGTTTTTTTGACGATGGTGTGGGGGGGGGGATCAGATGGTGCCAGGGATTCAACCTGGGTTGGCCACAAACAATACAAAGCACCCTGAGCCCTGGACTCACTCCAGCCCAATACGGCCCACGTGTGAAAACGCCATCTAATATAAGGGGGCCACGGGGGGCCATGGACATAGCTCCATGGCAGAGGGCACACCCCAGCTGTATGAGCTATGGATTCATCCCTAACACACACCTCCAGGAGAAAGAGAAAAATGATTCTGAACATTTAGCTTTGAGATAAACTGAGACAGTTTTTAGGGGTTAAAGAGGGAATACCAGAGAGCTTAAGCTAATACAAATATCAGACACTAAGGGCGGAGGCTTTGTATGCAGGAAGCCTGGATTTGAACCCTTGCATCACACTGTTTCCCAAGCACCTCCAGCTGTAGCCCCCTAACTCCAACTCCCCCCCCCCGCAAAAAATAATCAGACACTGCGCCCAGAAATTGGTTCAGTAGAAGACACATGAGGAGATGTATAAGGTCCAGATTTCAAATCTAGGACTGCAACCCCCCTCCACCAAAAAAAGGACAGACTTTCACGGGCTGCTCAGAGCATGAGAGTCTCCATGCTCAGAGCCTGTCTGTATTTCTCATTTAATATTTATAACGTCTCAAGGAGGCAGGCACTATTATTATCTATTTTAAAGAGGCACTATTATGATCTATTTTAAAGAAGAGGAAACCACGAGTTCAGACCAACTGAGAAACTTACTCAAGGCTATGTTTGGTGGGGCCAGGATTTGTGCCCGAATTTGCAGAATGGTTAACGGAGCACTGGATTCGGATGCCCTACTCCTGACATCACTGCAGGCCAGCTGTGGACCCTCAGTACGTAACTTAATCTCTAGAAGTCTCCATTTCCTCTCCTTAAAATGGAGGAGTGTAAAAATCAACCCAGGGCATTATTTTGGAGTGCTCTGGAAAAAGAAAAAAAAAAAAAAAAGATCAGGGCCAGCTGTGGAAGTAGGTCAAAGGTCAAATGTCTGCATATCGAGGCCTGAGTTTGGTCCCTGGCACCACTTTGCCTCTCACTGCCAACCATAAGGGGTATAGCTCCGGGGGCCCTGGTCATCCACCACCAGAGGCAGCTCCAGTAAAAATAAAAGCCTGGGAAAATGCTAAGTGCCCAAAGCGGAGTAAGAGTTTAAGAAACGTGAACTCCTGGGTGGAAGAAATAGTGAAGGAGTTAAGGGGCGCGGTTGATGCCCGCAAGACCCTGGTTCCAATCCCGGCCACCCCCCTCCATGGTTCCTCCCCACCACCAGGGGTCACCCCTGACCACAGAGCCAGGAATAGCTCCAGAGATTACGGCAGGGGTGTGGCCCAAACCCCGAAGAGACGCTAACTACTAAGTAGGCCAAGCGTTATCTGCCAAAAAAAGCAAAAACGCTCAACCGCTCTTGGAACGCACCCAGAGCCTGGCTTCTCCTCCCGCTGCGCGCTTTCACTGCCAACCCCTCCCAGGTCTCAATGTTCAACTCGAGTCTAGAGACCCCTTAATGACCTCCTCTTGCACCAGACACCAACCGTGGGGGTGGGGGTGGGGTTGTTGGTGGGGGTGGGGGGACTGGGGGATGCTCAGAAATGGCAACCACGGGGTCAGATTTCCCCCTAGACGGAGGATCACATGCTTCAGAAACGGTCCGGGCCTGCCCCCGCTTAGGCTGCGCCGTTCTTCTTCCCAAGGCCAAGAGCAGCCGAGAGCCGGTGCTTACCTGTTGTACATATCAGCCATCATCTCTACCTCCAGCTCGGCCGCAAGCTGCTGAGCCCTGAGCGGATCCATCCCCGTCCTGCAGCGCCGGCCGCCTGGTTCTCGGAGCAGACATCATCACCGTTAGCGCCCACCCCTTCCTTTGCCGATCTCCCCCCCGACCCCAGCCCCCCGGGATGGGGGGGGGGGGTTTGGCTAGAGGCTGCGGAGGGCACACCGGGCAGCGGCCGGCAGGGGCGAGCGCCCGACCACTCCGGGTTCAAGGTCACACGGCACGTTACCGGGGAGTCACCCGCCGTGACACCCCGCCCCTGGAGGTCACCTCTACCCGAACACCGGGACGGGCGCGTTTCTCTTCATGCTTCCACCGCCCCCTTTATTTTCTGACTCCATGCCCCACCCCCACCCCCACCCTCGACGCTACTGCCCGGCTCCGGGAAGCGCTGCCCTTGGATCCTGCGTCTTGGGAGCATCCTCAGGGCCGTGCAACTACCATCACACGCAGGACTCTACAGCGGCCCAAGGGCTGCACCTCTGAAACGGGCGCGGCCACCCTCGGGGTCACCGTGAGGTCAGAGGGCACTCACCAGAGCTTGGGGCAGGCGACAGCGCCCACCCCCGGTGTCCCCCAACTTCGGGCAGACCCCCGAGAGCGCAGGTGGAGGCCAGGTGAAGGGAAAGCGGAAGCACGTGGGTCACTTCCGGGAGGGAGGTCCCGCCCTCCTCTCCCCTCCGACTCGCTTCCGGAACGCAGAGGCCTTGAGTTCCGCGCTGGGAAATGTTCGACCATAGAGAGGAAGCCGCCGGCGCGGCGGCCAGCGTAAGCGACCGGCAAGTGCTAGAGGAGACGCCTGGATACCATAGAGGCCGGGGAGCGGTGCAGAGCGCCTGCAGCCCGGAGGGCGTTTGAAGTTCTCGGCGGCTGCGCCCGGGCGCCGCGCCACGCCTCTCCGCGACCCTCCCTGGAGCTCACGCGCCGGCGCAAAACCGCCGCGGAGCCGGAAGGACGCCCACCCTCCACTACACCAAGACAGTGGTTGTCGGTTTCGGCTGCTCATTCGTGTCTCCTGGGAGCTTGTTTAATGTTACCCGGGCGATGGTTCAGCGGGTCGGGCTCTGGCCTTGCACGGGAGCCCACCTGGGTTCGATGCTTGGACCCGCGTTTTTTTCCCCCACCCCGAGCATCTCCCGAAGTGATTCCTGAGAGCAGAGCCAGCTGTAAGCCCTCGAGCACAGCTGGTTGTGGCTCCACACCCCAGAATAAATACAGAATCAAGTGACGTTCCGATGCCCGGGGCTCATTCATCTTCTGCCAATGACGACTCCGCATCAGATTGTAAATTTCCCCGTGTGCTCCCTAAAGAGGCGTGTTAGAGCCGCTGCCCAAGGGACCTGTTGCCAAGTCCAGCTGTGTGTAGGTTGCAAAGATAAGGGAGGCGCTGTGCTTTCTCGGGTTGCAAAGATAAGGGAGGTAGGATTCCCACTTGCAGAAAGACGACGCTGGTGCAAAAGCCGGTTCTCTTCAACACTCGGTTACACGCCGAGTCATGAAGAGATAAACCGAGCCATTTCCGCTGCCGCTGGGGCTAACGGATTTCAGCGTGGACATCACTGCTCTAGGGAATCGTCTTTGTCGAATTCTGCGCGCTCCCCGAGTTTAAGATCGAAATAAAACCCGGAGAGAGGCTGGGGAGATGGTACAGCGAGCAGGGCTCTTGTCTTGCTCGCGGCCAACCCGGGGTTCAATCCCTGTCTCTGCATATGGTCCCCCGACTTGAGCCCTCCCTGAGCCACAGCCGGGTATAACCTCAGAAGAAACGAACCATGCAGTAGAGTTCGTGAACTGCACGAATCTTCTCGATGTTTAAGTATGTTTGTTTTTTATGGTGCAAAATATTTCCAGCACTCCGAAATGTACTCGCATTCGCCCTAAGTGTGTCAACATTTCCTTTTCTGCAGTTAGCCCCTATTCTTTCTGCCTTCTGCATTCTTGAACTTTTTTTTTATATTTGTTATGGTTTTTTGTTTGTTTGCTTTTTGGGTCAGACTTGGGGATGTTCAGGGTTACTCCTGGCTCTGCACTCAGGAATTACTTCTGGAGGTGCTGGGCGGGAGGGGGGAACCACATGGGGTGCCAGGGATCAAACCCAGGTCGGCTGGGTTTAGTTAAGCAAACACACCGTGTGTCTGGTTTCTTTAGTTCACCTAGTGTCGGTTACATTTTATGGTTGTGTGTATCTCTTACTCAGTTTTTTTTGTTTTTGTTTTTGTTTTTGTTTGGGGACCACTCCTGGCAGCACTCAGGGGACCTGTGGTTCTCAGACTGGAGCCTCCTACCTGCAGAGCTGTGCTCCAGCTTCAAACTACCTCTTTGTTTTTGCTTCTGAGTTTTTCTTTCTGGTAGTTTTTTTGTTTGTTTTTCTTTTGTTATGGTTATGGGGCTCCAACTGATATCTCCAAAATGCGAAACCGTTTGGGGCCATAAAATTCATGATTTTCTTGGGCTATTTCTATCTCTGTGCTCAGGAGGGACCCCTGGTGGTGCTCACAGACCATATATAGTGCCATGGATTTCAACTAGGGGCACTACAGTCACATGCAAAGCAAGTTCCTTACCTCCTGTACTATCTTTCATTCTTTATATATTGCTTTCTTTACTGTTTGGATGCATAAGGCAGAATTTATTTGTCTTTTCTCCTGTTGACGGAGTTTTGGATTGTTTCTCACTTGAAGCTACTATGGGTGGCCATGAATATTATCATGTGTGTTTTTTGTGGACATGATCTAGTTTTGCTCTTAAATATACAGTCAACAGAGCCAAGGAAGGAAGGAAGGGAGGGAGGGAAGGAGGGAAAGAAGGACTTCCTATATGTTTCTGCTTAATGCTATTTTCAAAAGCTATAGGGGTAGAATAACAGTTGCCCAGAGTTAGAGTAGCTGAAGGGCAGTGTGATGTGCGTGTGTGTGTGTGTGTGTGTGTGTGTGTGTGTGTGTTGCCCAAGAATGAACCAGATTCTCCACATATGCAGTATGTGCTTTACCACTGAGCCGTCTCCCTAGCCAGGGTGATGCTGATAAGGGAGCAGCAAAGGAGATCTTTGTGGTAATGAAATCCTGGTTGTGCAATATCCCGATCGTTGGAAGTGGTTAGTCAAGTTGACATATATAGATGTCATAGAACTATACACACATTGTACCAATGCTCATTTTCCTGGCTCTGATATTTTATCTAATTAGGTAAGACTTAACCTTTAATGGGGTCTTGGTGAAGGGTACGTAGGCACTCTCTGTATTATTTGCACAACTTTCTGTAAACTTTTATTTCAAAGGAAAGTTTGAAAAATCATTACAGGGGCTGGAGTGATTGCACAGCGGGTAGGGTGTTTGCCTTGCACGCAGCCGACTTAAGTTCAATTCCCAGCATCCCATATGTTCCTCCAAGCACTGCCAGGAATAATTCCTAAGTGCAGAGCCAGGAGTAACCCCTGTGCATCACCGGGTGTGACACAAAAAGGTAAAAATAATTCATTACAATGGGGAATGGAGCAATAGTACAGAGGGTAGGCCTTGCACAAAACTGACCTAGGTTTGATCCCCGGCAACCCATATGGTCCCCTGAGCACCACCAGGAGTAATTCCTAAGTGCAGAGCCAGGAATAACCCCTGTGCATTGCCAGGTGTGACCCAAAAAGCAAAAAAAAAAAAATCACTACAAAAGAAATACCAATTCAAGTACTTTGCCTTTGAGATGCTTAAGAAAGAAAATCATTCTCATTTTTTACATTTTACAATAAGATTGTTTTAATTCAGGCAGATTTAAAGCAAACCAAAAAAAGGAGAGAATACAATATACTAATCTTATATATATCCTTCACTAGGGTTTAACAATTTAATCTCTTTTTTTCTATTTCTATTTTTATCTCTAAGTCTTTTTTCCAACAGTGTAACTTTCAAACCTGCAAAATTACAGTCTTTTTTGGGGGGTGAGAGGGATGGCTTTTGGGCCATACTTGGCAGTGCTCAGGCATTACTCCTTGCTCTGCATTCAGGAAGCACCCCTGGCAGTACTTGGGGGTTCATATGGGATGCCAGTGATAGAACCTGGGTCAACCGCATGCAAGGTAAATGCCCTACTCACTATACTATCTCTGCAGTCCCAAGTATTGTCATTTCTTGATGTCATCTAATGCATACATTCAATTCTTCCAATCCAATTTCTAAAAAAAAAAAATCCTATCTAATGTGGTAAGAAAACAATGTGATGAATATCTTCTTTTCTTTATTTATTTTTTTATTTTGGGCCACATCCGACAATGAGTGATCAGAGTTTACTCCTGATAGGCTTGGAGGAATCATATGTGGCACCAGGGATTGAACCCATGCAAGGCAAACAGTCTATCCACTTGTACTATCTCTCCTGCAGAGATTTATCTTTTGCTTGTTTGTTTTATTTGGGCAGCAATGCTTAGGGAAGATGCCTGGCTGTGTACTCAGGAATTATTTGAAGTGGGGCTCAGGGAACCATCTGGGATGCTGGGGATCAATCCCAGGTCAGCTGTGTGCAGTGCAAGATAAGCTCTCTACCCATTCTGCTATCATTCTGGCCTAGGCTGTATCTTCTTAATAACCATTTAAGAGCACAATACAGTATTGTCAACTGAAACTTTATACCCATTGAACCAGCAACTCCCCCTTTTTACTCTCCCTGCAGTGTGTGGAAATCATTGTTCTTAGGGATGAGGATGTTATAAAATGCTGTGTTTTTTCCTTTTTACTTATTCTATTTTAGTATAATTTTTAGTATACATATTTTTTTCTTTTTCTTTTTGGGTCACAGCACAGCAGTAGGGCGTTTGCCTTGCATGTGGCCAGCATGGCTGACCCAGGTTCGATTCCTCTGCCCCTCTCGGAGAGCCTGGCAAGCTACCGAGAGTATCTTGCCCTCATGGCAAAGCCTGGCAAGCTCCCTGTGATGTATTTGATATGCCAAACACAGTAACAACAAGTCTCACAATGAAGATGTTACTGGGTCCGCTTGAGAAAATCAATAAGCAACAGGAGGACAGTGCTACAGTGCTTTTTGGGTCACAGCCAGTGATGCTTAGGGGTTACTCCTGGCTCTGAGCTCAGGAATTACTCCTGGCAGTGCTCAGGCGACCATATGGGATGCTGGAGATCAAACCTAGGTTGGCCATGTGCAAGGCAAACGCCCTACCCACTGTACTATCACTTCGGCCCTATCTTTTCCTCTTTATATCTATCCAACTGGGGGGACTTAGGAACCCACAAGGAAGAGTCTCCAGTGATCTCAATTACATTTCTCCTTGGAAGAGACCATTTGTAGATCCTCAGTTCAAATCCTTCATCCAACATTGTTGGCCTATGTCAGCACTAGGCCGACACTTGGGCCGTCTCTCTCCCCTCCCAACTGTCCCTTCCCAGCCTCCCAAAGCGGGGGGTGGGGGTTAGATATCTGTTCCCATAGATCTATATTTTATTTGTCTATTCAGGGGCGGGGGCACACTTGGATGTGCGCAGGTCTGACTCCTGGCTCTGCAGAGATCCCTTCTGGCATGGCTCAGGAATCAAACCCCACTCAGCCTTGTGCAAGGCAAATGCCCTCCCCACCGTACTTGCCCCTCAGTCCCCCAGAGGGCACCTCTCCAATGACACCTCAGCCCCAGAGGAAGAGACCAGG